TAAAAAATGAAAAGACTTCCCGGTATCCCTAATAAATTCTTCAGGAGGGACGAGAGTGCGCGAGGAATGGACAAAAATTGGTACCGCGCTCGTTTCCATCATAGATCCATCTCCGACGTCTCGGTGGGACAGTCTCAGGCTGTTCGCGAACCGTCGGAAACAAATCCACGATGGAGCAAACTGGGAACCAAGCATTTCTTTCAACCGTGAACACCGAAAACATCAAAGTCCGAGTATTTTGACTGGCTAGAACATGGTGATTCTTTACGAAGACAAAATTGTTATTATTGCACCGCTCATTATTGATCGTACTTGAAAATGACAATTTCCTTGAGACTTGCTGATAAAACCATGTCAGCCGCGCAGAAGCGTCTCGCAATGCCTCCGAGGAACACCGATCGCGAGCGTGTTCGCTGGCGAAGTCGCTCGCGCGATGAACGCTGCGAGCTAACGAGGAGGAAGGCGCGCGTCGTCCTTAGTCTCGCGCGACACACGTAAAGATAAATCGAGGTAGCGACGGAGGGCCGGCCGTGGCCTTTATGTAGTAAACTATTGGTAGTGCGAACAGCTCAATGGTGAAACGAGAGATGTAACCGAAGCTGCATCATAAAACGGTAATGGGGCGTCGCGTTTCCTTTTCCTGGGGCCTTCGGGCTCGTGAGGAGGGTGGACGTTAAAGACGAGAAAAGGGAGGAAGCTCGAGTCGGTCCTCCTCCGTCGAAAAGAATTGTTTTCTCCGGCGACGGCGACGAGAAGACGCGCGCGCGCCGCGAGCAAGCTCAGCGCCGGCGAGAACGAATTCGAATATTTTCCCGCGCTTGCGAAAACGCGCGCGAGAACGATCTCCTCGGAAGCTTCTTCGATTCTCGCACCGGTCGTCGTGAATTTGCGAGATTCCGAGGGAGAGAGTTCGGTGTGCGGGAGAGAAGATGGCGGTAGTCTGATATATCCGATATGCCGGATATCTGGCCAAATAATCTTCCGTTAGCTACGGCTCTTAGGCCGCCGATTGTTCCAACTTCTTGGTAAGTTAACCGATGACGACATCATCACTGTCTGTCTTTGTCTGAATTAAAGGAAAAACAAGGGCAAACGTGAATGACTTAACTATCAGTTAACTCACCAAGAAGTTGAGAACAACCGGCTCTTGAGGCAAGTTGTTCCAATTCCTTGGTAAGTTAACTGATAGTTAAATCACACGTCTCTGTCTTTGTCTAGATTAAAGGAAAAACAAAGGCAAATGTATATGACTTAACAATCAGTTAGCTCAGAGCTCGGCAAAATATGCACGCGACGGCTGATTTTCGACTATCTCCGTCCACCGCTATTCCCTTCACCTCGCCGCTCCGCGCGCTGCCTACAAGCCGTTCAGGAGCCTCAGGAGCGTGTTTCCAATAGTTTTCACGTCACGAGGTACCCCATGAGGTACTATTGTTGACGCGTTTTTTTCTCTTTAAGTGGTATCCCCGGTAGGCCTCTTCATTTTTCAAAAATGAAGTTTATAAAAAAATGAGAAGTGTTCTTCTTTAACCCGTAACTGCTGTGAAGCCATTTTAAGTACGCGCACACTGTTCACCGGTCAAATTGACCGGTAGGAAACGGAATTGATGAATATCTTGACAGATAACACGACCACACAACTGCGCGTGTATCAGTCGACCGACATTCAGAATGTAAGAAAATACACCGACGGATGAACTACGCAACTAGACAATTAACCGCGTTATTTAAATTTCAAATAGTGCAATGGTCAAATTGACCGGAGAACAGCAGTTACGGGTTAAGCGACGATTCCTTACGTCTTATGCGGCTCGCTACACGCAATATCCAAATTGACGTTTCCACTCTTACCAATAAAAGACGCCGAAAATCGAATTGAATATTCTTCACTTAACATATTTTATTTCGCTTCTGTTCAATTAGTTACGGGTTGTTACAGTCATCAGTGGATTAGGCTTACTGGGGATACCACTTGAAAAAAAAATGCGTTAACAATAGTACTTCATGGGTGACGTGGAAAACTATTGGAAGCACGCTCTCGAGACTCTAGCGGCTTGCTGGTAGCGCGCGGAGCGGCGAGGTAAAGGGAATAGCGGTGGGCGGAGATAGTCGAAAATCGGCCGTCGCGTGCACATTTTGCCGAGCTCTGAGTTAGCTTATCAACAAGTTGGAACAACCGGCACCTGGCCATAAAAGAGAAACGAAGAAGAAGCTCGGCGTATCGCGAAATAAAGCTCGATGCCGAAAGGACGAGCACGGGGAATGGCGCGCGGCGGAGAGATCGACGAAGGCGGTGGGTAGACTCCGTCGGTCGAAATCTCCCCCCGTACAACAGCGATGGCCGACGACACCGCAGACGTGCGTGCACAGGTACGCTCGACGCGGCGTCGTACGCGCGCGCACGTGGTATGCGGTGTGCGAGTGCCCGCGTGAATTCTGGCCGCGGCGCGCGTTATGCGCGGCTCGTGCGTGCGCGCGAAGAAAGAGAACGGACCCGAGAGCGAGCGCGAAGTTGTTATGGCTACGACGACGGTGCAGTCATGGCCCGTTCCTTCTTCTCTCCCCTACCCTTCTCTCTCTCTCTCTCTCTCTCTCTCTCCCCCTCCCTCCTTCCCTCCCTCCCTCCCTCTCTCTCTCTCCCTCTCTCGTTCTCTCCCGGCTACTTCTCCCGTCTTGGACCTCGTCCTGATGGACGCACAAGGTGCCGCGTGGATTTCGTCTTTCTCTCTATGGGCGAGCCCGTTCCACTCGCAAGCTGTCCCACGCGAAGCCATTTTTCGTCCCGAAATTCTCTAACATTGAAACCCGATAATTCCCGGTTAGTGTCCACTTTTCTCCGGATCGTTTTTCTGAAATATGTAACTCCCGCCGCCGGACGCTCCCCCGTCGGGATGAATTGTTTCGGGTGAAAAACACTTGGCGCAAAATTCTCCAGAAGAAAGTGAAGGAAATTAGAGAGAGAGAGAGAGAGAGAGAGAGAGAGAGAGAGAGAGAGAGATTGAACAGAGAGGCAGAGCTTTCGACGCGTCAAGTGGAGCGAGTCGTACTTGTTGTGCGATATGAAAGGAATCCACAAACTGAGGAGTCACAAGCTTGAAAATTAAATGCCGCGCTACTGCAATCGCGAAGGAATGCACGCGCGCATTCATTGACCGGTCAACGCTAATTAACACTCGTGATTTTCGAAATTGAAATCTCCTGCAGTTCCTGCGATTTTTCCGCTTACATCGATCCGATCGATTCAAGCTCCTCGCTGTTGCCTTACGCTCTCCCCTCCTCCCGCAACACTAAATGCCGCTGTAATAATATTATGCAAGGGGCGAGATAAGCGGACCGAACGATTTTGTGTGGGCCGCTCTGAGAATTCCTCTGTCCGTCACGATCGAGAAAAGGGAGAGGAAAGAGTGAGAGCGAGAGAAAGAGAGAGAGAGAGAGAGAGAGAGAGAGAGGGGGGGGGGGAGAGAGATTATGCCGACGCTGCCGATCTTATCGTAATTTGCGGTCCGGCGATGTTATATCAATAAACGGCCGAACACGCGTCTGGCGCTATCTAAGCGTGACTTCGTCCGCGTTTCTCTTTCTGCGCCCTCTTTCTCTCCCTACCGCCGCTTTTTCTCCGATGTATCATTTACCAATAAACGTCGCGCCTAACATAACAAGCCGCAGCGCGCGTTATGGCCGTGGCCCCGTCGGACTTTATCCCCCATTCATAATCGTCACAAAGGACATCAACGCGGCACAGACATTAATTAGATAAGCTCGCGGATTATATAATCACCGGCGGCGAAAGGGAGAGCCGGGCGACAACGAGTACCCGAAGAATGCGTCTCACGATTATATCATCGTTCGGTTATCGTTCGGTTCCGGTAAATATTTTCGCGGAGGGTACGACGGTGAGGATTCCTGCGGCGGTAATTATGAAACAAGAGGGAGAAGGTCCGCGTCTCTCGAAGAGTCGTGTGGTAAATCGAACAATTCGCTTTGTTTACCTTGTGGAAAATACGAATCAAGTGTGCGAACGCCTCTTTTCCATATCCACTGAAGAGAATTCGTGCTTCAAGAGATATTGTATTGGAAAATCGAGTCCTTCAAAGCGCGCCTTTTCTCACACGATGGAACCAATTGAAAACAAACGCCCCCCCACCAGAGAGCTACCGAAAACTATGATGATTTATTTCTTTCTTGGAAGTTGTTAATTTTAAAGTCAAGTAGATACAAAAGGAGCTAAGGTCCTGGCAATCCGAAACAATAGGTTGAGAAGTGTTTCTCCCGAAATGCAGTTAACGACGTCAGGAAAAATGTCGCTTCTTTTTAGAGCTTATTTCTTCAATAAAAGATCTCTCTCTCTCTCTCTCTCTCTCTTTCTCTTTCTAGTACACATGCTTTCTAAATATAATTCATCAGGTACTAATTTATGGCTTTCATGTGTTGCTGATGACTCGTCAATAGCCAGTAGTGAATTGTATCAAACGTCAAACAAAATTGATCGAGACCTCAAACCAGAATATTTAGCGCAAGTCCTCTCTCAACAAAAATGGGATTCCGCAAAAAAAAAATAGCAAAATGCAAAATAGCAGCGGAAGATGACTCAAACGACGCACTTTCGAGTGATTTTTCGACGAAAGAATCAAAAGCGAATACTTTGCACGGAATTAATTCGATCAATACTTGAGATTTGATTTCCGGCTCGTCCGTGTCCATCGCATCCATTTGCTTCCGACGTTTCGTGAAACAGTTCCACGAAATTTTCCTCTGCCTGAAGAAGTAAACTGGGAGCAAGTCGGAAACCAAACCGAGCATTTCTCTAATTCGATCAATCTCTCCGGATGCTAACTTGCCGATAAGCGGGGGAGCAAATAACTCCCGTAAAGACCACTCTCGTAAAGCTCCACCTTTATCCTGTAACCAACGCGTGTAACATTCTCGCGAATTTCTTCTTGTAAATTGTCCAATTGCAAAATTCGCGCGGTTCAAGCGGTTCAAACGGAAGGAAAACTCACGTCCTTGTTTGCGGAGTGCGATCCCTCTGCCGGCGATTCTTGAACCAATTGGATACCTGAGTCAACGTCAGGCCAGTCTTCTTCGCGAGGTTCTTCTTCTCGTCCGGCGTGGGATATCGGTTCTTCATGTAGCACTCCTTCAGAGCGTTCCTCGAGCGCTCCTTGAAGCAGTAAACGGTCTCCTCGCCGTCCCAGATCGTTTTGGGTAGCGGATACTTCTTGCGGAGCCGGTACTTGTCCACAGCGCCCAACGGCCGGCCACGAATCTTCTCGGCTTCGCGGTAGTGCGACTTGAACCACATTTGCTGCAACTCAGGGTGACGCCGTGGCGAGAAAGGGTGGCTCTCCAGGATCGAGTAGAGCTCGTGATAAGATCCACGGTGAAAGGCAACGGCGGCACGCGCCATCAACACGCTCTCGCTTCCGTGAAGCAGCTCGCCGGGCGGTAGGGACCAGAGGAATCTGAAATAAACACAATCACGTCCCAAGTACGTTGTATTCTTGACCGAAATGCGCACGACTTTCTAGTCCCTTGTGACCCGATCTGAAAGAGACCTGAGAGAGAATACGGCTGTCTGCATTTCTTTCCATCAACACGCGATGTTTTGAATAGACTATACAGCGCGTAACAATATTTCACAGTGTGTGGTGAGAAGTGTGGTGAAGTATGAAACAAGGACAATTCCAATCCGCAGGCTTAACCGCAGTCATTAGCCAATGTTCATTTCAGTTCAGTTTCAGAACTCTCACCAATCTTTTTCTTAACTTTCCGTCCACCGGTGCAATGGCGCGGGCTAATACCATTCGGTCAAACCATCAGATCGTTTGCACCGAACGAGAAAGAAAGAACGAAACTTTTCTCTGAACATAAATGGAGAATAGAAAATCCGACCTCTGGTTAGAAGGAAAGGAAGAGAAGAAAGGAAAAAGATGGAAGATGTGAAAAGCACTTTGAAGAAGGAAACACGACATGCTGGAAGAATCCCTGTATGAACGGCTGCCAAAATATTGTGTGTCGGGTGATAACAGGTCTGCAAGGATATCCTTTACCTCGACAGTTTCTCGATATCCTGACTCTGGGACAGTGCCTCACACATACAGGATATCTGCTCGGGCGTGAAGTTGCTAGTGGTACCGCCGAATGAGAGGCTGCTGATATTGACGATATTGGCGCTCACACTGGCGCCTGTGCCGCAGGTAGACAGTTCCTGCGGATACTGGGGGCTACCGTTCGACGTGGGCGTCAGGTTCTGTGGATGATGAGACAAGCCGAGACCGGACATCGACGTCGTGTTGCCGTACTGAGCAGTTGCGTTGCGATGGACGGCACCAATCTGACTGTTGCAGTCGCTATTTGGCGATGACAGCTGATCCGAACTGTCAGACATTCTTAGCTGATGTCTGCGGCGAGGTGTCGGACGGCTGATCGGGTTCACCAAGCTCATTCGCCGTTCACGAGCACCGGAGCTGATCGGCCAGGTAAGCTTCTTCCCGAGATATCTTCGACAATCGGAGCTGCCTGGAGTCGACTGCTGGACTTACGTGCGTCTACTTTGACTGCGATAGATAGATTGAACCTTGGCTGTGTTTCAGTCAGAAGGATGTCGAAGAATTTGTCTCGTTTGATCCATATTGGCCTTGAGAGTCCTTAAAGATTTTTGCCTGAAGTTGATCATCAATTTTCTATAACCTTTCACCATGTCGGGTATACAGATTGTAGTCGTCCCGAAGAAAGTCGTCTCGCGCAGTGGGGAGTCGAAACACTGAGGAAATCCCTTTTCTATTTCGGCGAGTGTCGCACGGTATAGCCTTTGTTTTGCGAATCGTTGGCTGGATGAACAATCGCTGATATCGCTGTAATCATCCGTTGTTCACACACTCGAGTCGGCGCGACGGTTGTTTAATGACGCACGTTTCATTCATACCGACGCGAGGCTCGATTCCCATTCATTGAGTTTTCCTCGGCGCGGGCCTCCGCGCCATTTTTCAACGGAAGTTGTGAGCCGCGCGTTGGAAGATCGGACGTTGACAACGCGAGTGGGATTTATCGCAACTGCCTGGAGATACTTCGTGGCTTCGTACGTGCGACAATCGTTCGTCGACGGACAGTTTCAGACGGAGGTCTAAGCTTTTCCGGAGAATATAATACGGTAAAGCGTATTCACGTCAGCGATCATGTCCTTTCGATACGTCGTGCGCCGGATAGGCAATGTGCACCATCGCAGAATCTTTAAGGGCTCGAGTCCTTGAAGCGTTCGATTACTCTAATACGACTATCGATTACCTTACGATTGATACGACTATCCGTTCGGTCGTCAGCGCGAGCACTCTTCGTTGAAGAATTGAATTCGGCACTTCGATATCCGCGATTTGCGGACTTCCGTCCTCGGAAGCCGAGGAGAGGAAAAAAAAAAAGAACGCAAGTCCCACGATTCCGATCACACGTATTCATTTGTCCTTCGCAGTCGCGTCTGATTACCGCATCGCAAGCAAATAACTGCAAACTTCAGTTCTGTAAGCGCCTGGAACCGAGTCTGAATGGCGATTCATAATGAATTATGTAATCATAATGCGACACCCGTTGCACGCGCGATAACTCGTCACGAAAGTGTGACGGTACCTTCGATGGATATCCATATTATTTACTCGTTTCCCGCTGGGTCTGCCACAACTCTTTTACGTTTTTTCTTTCAATTCTCCCCATGCCACACTTGCTGCAGTCACAGTTTGCATCGGCTCACCAAAAAGAGAGGAAGAAATAAGCTTCGATGCCCAGCCGCAGGTAACACTATCAGTTCCTGCGTTCCGAACGCTACCGCGTGCTTTATTGCTATCCCCCGCCGAAAAAATCCGCCGGCTAATGACGTTGGCGAGGTGATCGCGACAGACAGCGCAAAACAGATTACGCAACTGACACTCGCCGAGAGAGCACCCTCGGCCGCACGGGAGCGTCACTGAGTGACCAAGTCACCAAGTTAGTAAGGCGAACTGGGCCTCGCGTACGTGGTGCGACCGCCCGATCTCGCGCTTCCGTTGTTGGTTCGTAGTCGTGCTACTGCCTTCGCGGGCGTTTGTGGTGGTGTCGTCCGGTCGCGATGCTGACGACGCTGATGCCGTGCGGCGCTCTTTCTCTCTTCCTCTTTCCTGCTCGCTCGCTCTCTCTCTCTCTCTCTCTCTTCCTCCGCGCCTCCTCGCCCTCGCCCTCATCTCTTATACATACCACACATATATACACATCACACACGCGCACTCTCTCTCTCTCTCTCTCTCTCTCTCCCCCCCTCTCTCTCTCCTTTCTCTCCTCTCTCAACCCTCGTTCTCCTGCTCGTCCTCTTTTTTTTTCGGTAGTGAAACCGTACGATGAGCGAGCTACAGCATGCCCAGTGATTGGTCCGGGGCGGTGTAAACGCTGCTCCATTGGTCGGGTGTTACGTATATATAGCACTACAGGGCGGTCTCCTACCCCCTACCGACAACTTCACCCCGTCGGGCGCCGTCGACGCTTTCGATTTCTCCACGTTGATTCCCACCTGGCGACCTCCACGACGGACCGATTACCTGGATATATCGAATTTCGGCGATTCCTTCCCCGACGGTCTTGAGCCGAGGCTCGCGTAATTTTTTTTTCCTCTTCTCTCTTTTTATTATTACGTAACAGCTGCGCGACGGGGAATACGCGGGGGGGGGGGGGGCGCTGTGCGTTCGACTTCGTCGCTCCGATGCTCGATTATCGTTCGCGCTCTTGATTGTTCTCCGCGTTGTATCACTGTACCTTTTGTCACTCGTGCGAGATGAATTGCGAGTCTGTACAGAAAGGGATGAAGGATTCAGGATCGTATAATATTCACGGAAAGATGTATGCAGAGTATAAAATGGGCACAGTAAATCCACGCATCGAATCCACCCATCATCCCTCGACGGAGATTGTTCGGACTCGATATGATCAAAGCAATGGAGCCGGGTGCGCACAATCGGAGGAGATTCTTAATCGTGAGACAATTAATACCGATTGAAAATGTTCGAGGGTAGCTTCTCATTCTGACACGATAAAGTCAAAACTTGGAGATTCTTGGCTGATTATACGTGTCTCCGTTATAAACAGCTCGTTGGTTCGAACGTGTGCGCACATGTGCGATATCTGACATACCACAAATTTAAGATTTTTATCACAAGGCGAATAATAAAGTGGCTCATGTGGCTCATGTGAACGGGGTAAGGAGATCTGCGAAAAGGAGAAAAAACATGAGATAACGAGACATTTGGAAAGCCAGTAGCTTCGAGCTACTCTAGAAACTCGGTCCAAATACATTTGGCGGACACGTGTTAGTCATGTGAGATTGTCCGTTAATTAGAGCAATTTTCTCAAGCTCGGAGCCTTTCGAGCCACGTCCTGCGCTTCTGCGCTTCGTAGATGCGATAAAGCGCGGATACTCAAAAACGGACCGCCGACATACGCCGTCGCGGAACAGACATACAGACATATTTATTTTAATATTGCACTGTCGAGGGGGAGATTTACCATCGAAACAAGTACGAGTACCCTGCTATTAGTTTAATCGATGAAATTAATCGATCTCTTTATCTATTTCAAATTTATAGCAACTAACAGCGCATGGATAGTTGAAAAACGACGGGAAAAATTGCTCGTCGAGCGGCTGACTTAATTTTGGCAAACCGCAATTCGCAATTTACAACCCTTAATCATCGATATCACATATAGGCTATTTACGGACAAATCTGATTTCGCTCGGCAGACACTGTTTTCCGTTATCGCGCAGCCAGTCGGGGAATTACGAGTAGACCAATAAACACCGGAAACGAAACGTGTCAACGTCACCGTACACCGTGTTGTGATTCCGCGCAACGCTATCGCGCCTCGTGTTTGACTAAATTCACAACAACCAAGTAACAATCGTCCAGGCCCTCGTCGTAGGTTTTGACGAAAGGATGTCCGCGCCGTGAATTTACTTGCCGATTATTATTATCATGTTCAGACGTAGTTACGTTTCGGACGATTTATCGCGCATGATATTTCACAGAGACCGACTAGATTGAACGCGAAATTTCGTAGAATTTTGCTGAGGTTGATGTCGCTTCCTATTTTGCGACGAAATCTAATTAATAAGACTGTAAATAAAACTGAGGCTATCGTCCAACAATTATATGTTCGTCGCTTTTTTGTTAGATCAAGTATTTCGCCGCGATAAATTATTACGTTACAATCGTCGTTCTAATGAGAGAAGACTGAAGAAACGGCGATTTCGAAGAAGATCTACAGATCGCAGGTGCGGCACGATCGACGGAAGAAACGATCGTCATTTTTAATAGAGCGTTTACTCTAGCGGTAAGATTTCTACCCCTTCGCGAAGGTCGTCGGCTCATCTTTGGAGTCGTATTATGATACACATTTCTGCAAATATGATCCAACGACAAACGTAACTTTAGCTGCAGATCGGCCCGAATACGAACTCGTACACGCCTAAGGGGCCGGTTTCGTCCATTCATGACTATTATTATCGCATATATCGTTGCTGCTCTTGTATGTTCCTCTTGTTGCTCTTGTACGGATGTTTCGATCGTTTATCTCTATCTTAACCTCCACTTAAAAATTTCAGTTAAAACGCCGCGCCTCATTGTTAATTAAAACAGAGCCTCTCTCTCTCTCTCTCTCTCTCTCTCTCTCTCTCTCTCTCTCTCTCTCTCTCTCTCTTTGTCTCTATCTCTTTCTCTCTCTTTCTGTCTCCTTCCTTTAAAGAATCGATCAGGTCCATGAGGAATGATCGCGAGCACATTAAGATAAATTTAGAATGTTCGTTACATGACGGAAATCTGTCGGTTGAAAATACTAAGGAATGTAACCGGTGTTATGTAGATCAATGAGCACAGCGACAAATGAGCGAAGATGTCTTTCACCGCGGAACGAAACGAGCCGATCTCCACCACGCCTTGCAAATCTTTTGAATCTGCTCCGCCTTTTCCCACTAATTACCGCTTGTATGTCGACGCTGAAGCCTCACACATCGGACGTGGTAGACGTGATGCCTCTGGCAAGAGTTGGAAGTCATCAAGTGTCAAGTCACAGACAATCGAACGAGTTAAATTCAAACGACTCGCACAGTCGAGAGTCATTAAATCTAACAGAAAACGGAGCTTGTTCGACGAAACAAACCGGTCGGCCGGGAAGAAATTAATCAGAACTATTTTCGTCAATGAGGTTTAATTTAATATTAAAGGCGTATATTTAATATTAAAAATATTATTCGCGAAAACAAGGTTGGCTTTCGACGTGTTAGGTGACTGCTGTACAATGCAAACAATCGTGCGTATTGTGCGTTGAAAGTCCGGAGATAAATCGTGTACGTGTAACGATTTTATCTTCCCGCTATGAAAATCAATTATCATGTCCGACATCTAACGATTGCTCTCATCGGTCGATCTTTCTCACTGCTTTATAATTTATGTCTCTCAAGTACGTCGAGAGAAAGAGAGAGAGAGAGAGGGGGGGAGGGAGGGAGAGAGGGAGGGAGGGGGTGGGAGGGAGTGGAAGGAGAGGGGAAGGGAAGGTAAGGGATGGAAAAATAGAGAGAGAGAGGGAGAGAGAGAGAGAGAGAGAGAGAGAGAGGAACGGCGTAATTAACATAACGCAAAAGTTATGTTAATTATTTCGACTTAACCGCGCGTTTGAGCGATTACGAGCGCGAGGATGACACTATGACGATGTCAAGACCCAATGATAAAGGGGCGGCGCCGCGCTTTGCGATGGCGTCTCCTTCGATTTGGTGTCGGATTTCCACCAAGCCGCCATTTTCTCTCCTCCTCTCTGTCTCTCTCGCCCTCTTCCTCCGTGCGTCCTCTCGTGCCGACCCTTGAGGCAGGGATGCTCGTTCTTATCAAAACGAACCTGGCGACGACCATCCTTCTTCGATGTTCGCTAGATCCAAAGAGAGCGACGCACCTGACGGTCTGACGATGATACGTTGCCCACTGCGGCGAGCGACTCGAAAAAATAACTGAGTCGGTTTCTAAATTCTGTCTCTCGCCGATTGGTGGCGATGAGGGAAAGGAGGAAGGATGAAGATAGTCTCTTCCTAGAGGAGGAAGGAGAGAACGAGGGAATACGTGACATAATAATGACATTGTCATGCCATTATTATGTCACATCATATTGTATCGTGTGACATATCATTCATTCGGCGTACATTTTCGCTACATTAGAAAATTATGCAGATTATAGTGCAAAATTGCACAAACTTTCGTCGCAGAACGCGACGATTTATTGAGCCACGACACACACCCCGTTGCGCGATCCCGCGCCGATAATCACAGCCCCAGGTTGCACAAAATCATCCCCGGATATTGATCTCCTCATTTTTCTCGCCATAACTTGGCGCATCCAATCGTCACGCCGACGCGCGGTGAGGGTGAAATAATTCTCGAATTAAATCTACTCGACTGCAGCGAGAGACGAATGCTTTGACACGATTTCGCCGGAGACGCGCGAATCCACTTTGCACCTCGTCAGGGCTCGACTGTGCGGAAAGCATCCTGTTTGTACCTGGGCACATCAAGGCATTCGTGCACGAGGTAAAGCACCGGCAGGTGCTACGCGGGAGGATGAACGACGAAGAGACGGGGGAGGGTGACAGAGCATAGCAGGGGTTGCGGAGGAGGGAAGCAGCAGCAGCAGCAGCAGCAGCAGCAGCAGCAGCAGCAGCAGCAACAGCAGCAGTAGTAGCAGCAGCAGCGGCGATGGCGTCGTGTTTCACTGTACTGCGTTTAATTGCATTCCAAAATGGCTCTGTGCAAAATCCTCCCCCTCCCGCTCCGTCCCTTTCACGATCCTCCTCCTCCTCCAGCCGGGCACAGACGGCGAGGCATCTTCAGTGCCGTAAATCCAGATAAATTAAACCGGCGGCTCCAGTCCCCCCCTTCTCTCTCTCTCTCTGCCTCTCTTTCTCTCTCTCTCTCTCTCTCTCTCTCTCTCTCTCTCTCTCTCTCTCTCTCCTCTCTCTCTCTCTCTCTGCCTCTCTCTC